TTAAACGACCACGTGTGGACACTCAATCAAAACCAACTGAAAGCGAGAGGGATTCTGCACATAATAGGCCTCGTAAGTACAAGTAGCTTACTTCTGGGTCTCTGTGTTTCATTCAAGCTCTGCTCTGTGTGTGTGTGGCACGAGCCATTTTGTGTGCGTGCGCAAGCGAGCGAGAGAGAGAGAGCTCGCGCACCGGTGGGTATCTACCGGAGATCGTTGTGGTTAGCATCTGGTGCTAGCTAGCCAAGCTAATGGATATAAGGAGCTTTTTCAACAACAAGGTGGAGAGAGAACTATCTCCTGTCAGACGGAGAGTCTCAGATAACCTCAGCTCAGGTGAAGTAAAGGACTCTCAGTGTTTAGATAGTTAACTTTAGTCTAGTTATCTCAGTGGGTCTCAAACGGTTTGTTTTAAAAGGGGAGTGATTTGTAAAATATCTATAAAGAAATAGAAAATCTGTTTACAGTTCTGTTTCATATGTATGTTGAGAGATACAGTATATCCATAGATCTCTTCATTTAGCTCTCAAAGTGCACCAGATTGATGCTTTTAACTTCAATATTTAAAAAAAAATCTTCCCACTTGAGGAGGTGCGGTCCACACACCACTTGTAAAAATAGCACTTTACTCCTGCTTACACCTATATGCCGTGAGCTGATTACCGAGCCTTCATTGTAACAGTCGCGGGTACACTGTGTGTGCGTGTGGGGAGTGTTGCAGTAGAAAATTCAACTGTAGTGCTGGTGCATTAATGGGAAACCCTTAATGTTTGAGCACCCTCTATGAAACGTCAAGCTACCCCACAGCACCCCCTAGAGAAAATCTCTGGCGCCGCCACTGCTCACATTGCAGCGGCCGCTCTAAAGTATTCACTGTCCGACTCACACAAGCAGCTGATACATATCCCCAGTTCTCCTTAGCCTAAGTGAATGTGTGTCAGTCTGAATTGACGCTGTTTGGTATCACAACGCTGTTATGAAAGTTTCTCTGGTATAAAATGGGTGATGTTAGCATAGCAACCGAAGCTAAACTGACTACTTGCTATTGCTATCCTATTGTGGCATAAACCGTTTTCTACGGGCACATTTTACCGGCGTATTTTTATTATGATTCTACTTGTGATAGTCGGACACGACAACCTGTGCAGCCCATGTATTGATTCCATCCGATAGCTGCTATAATACAAAACAAAACGTCTGCCTCTCTCCACAATGATCAATAACAGTGAACGGATGGTCAAAGTAAGGTACAAATAAACAGAATCACACGAAGCCTGGTTAGTGTTGCCTGACTTTATAAAGTGTGTTTATAAGCACTACTGCTTGTAGGCAGGCATGACAGTCGACCCATGTTCAGGGGAGGTGGGTTTAGTTTCCTGCACACCTCGACGTAAGAGAGACGTAAGCGATGCCACCTCTTAGCTCCGAAGCTCTTGCCTCTAGACCGACAATTTTTTGGAGCTGGAAGTGAACCGGATTCCGGAGCTAAGAGCCGGCGCCGCTGCGGTGTGAACAGGAAAAACTGGCGCTTTTCAGGCTCCAGCTCCGAGCCGGAGCTGAAAAAGCGCTGGTGTGAAAGGGGCATCAGAGGTCAAGGAATAGACGATAAGAGCAGATTTTTGGATTATCCGACCGCAACCAGGGGCTCTTCCCTTCTCTCCCCTCTTTGTGTTACTGAGTGATGGAGTCCATTAGAAAACATGGCCTCCTTTCTGTCTCCTCACTTATCCACAGGCAACTCTGAAGAGGAGGAGGAAGCCATGGGACATAGCGCTAGGGAATAGATGCAAACACAGCTGAGCTGCCCGTGTGTGCATCTTTCTAAAGTCAATAAAAACCAGCACAGCTTTATAAATATGGATTCACGGCTGCATACACTCAGCACATGCGCAGTGCTGTACCACGGGAAGGAAACATGCTAATTCCACAATTAGCTTTTCTGTAATTAGCACTGAGAGCTAATTGCGGCGGATGTGCAATTAGCATTATGTAGAGTGCTTTTCCCCAGACTGCAGGGCCAATCAGTTAACCCCTTCATATAGTGAGGGAGGGGGGCACACACAAGAGAACTTGGTCTCTATTCACAGAGTCAATCATCAGGGTCACATGCTCTTTAGAGGAGGGAGGGGGTGGGGGAAGAGGGAAATCACTTTGTGAGCAGCCAACTGCAGCACAAAGCCTCCTGATTGCATTCTGGACTCTGACGGGATTTTACTCCTGCACGGCCCACTCACTGCTGATTACAACCCCCCCCCCCCCCAGTTACTTACTTCCTAAATCCATCTGCAGCCCTGTCCTGTTCTCCATCCCCTCCTCTCAGTGAGCATTCAAGAGAGACAGAGCGTTGTGCAGGAGATATTACTGCTGCTAACATTAACTCTGATGTGTTTCCTGTTGCAGGGGTCCGAGGTAAAAACAGTTCAGAGAGCACCTTCCGACTGCTGGACAGCAACAAGGATGGCAGGTAAAGACATGCACGTGTTAAACTGTTAATAAACACAGAGACTTTCAGTGTTTTAGATGTACAGCATTCACTCATTTACCAACACACTTCCATGCCTTAAACTCCTTCATTGGACTGTTGTTAACTTCTGTAACAAAGTGACAGTCACTATGGAACACTCATTGACTATTAGCTAGCCCTCCAACACATTGTACGTGAGTTTCAGACAGAGGGTGAAAAGAGGTGCTGCAGCACAGGCAGTATGAGAAAAATAAAGGGCTTTTTGAACATTCAAGCATGGACACCTGCCACTCTAAATATGAATATGAACCTGAACATGAGCTGGATATATCCTCTTTACACAGACGATCTAAGTGTGTTAATCATTTTGTGTTTAGTGTGTATGGGTGGCACAGGCTGCAGAGAAATCAGAGAGCAGTACACAGATCATGGAGCAGAAAGCAGGTGCTGTATAATGCACACCTACAGTGCCTCAGACAGCATTTCCATTAGGACACACACACACACACACACACACGCACACACACGGTATACACACGTTATACCTTGAGAGGATTCATCACGTTTAATTTCCTCAGCAGTTGGTAGGCTCATATTGCAACCTGTGTGTGTTGCAATATGTGCTGTGTGCTTCACGACATCACAACTTGATGTTTAGAAGCAGTTATCATGCTAAACAGACACAAAATGAGATGAGTGCCCAGAATAAATGAGAGAACAATTATCTGTGAATCTGCGTTAATAATAATAATTACCATTTCAATGGAGTGGATGAAGAGGGGGGGTGTTTAGCTGAGAGTCATTAGAGTCAGATCCAGGAGATAACGAGTCGGCAATGTGCATTCTAATGCAAAGTCTGCAGCTCCTGCATGCACGAGGGTGATTCTTCATCATGGAGGAAACCGGTGATGAACATAAAAAGCTTTATTTAAACACACTCTCTGACACTGAAACAATGGCTTTGCTCAGTCTCAGTCATGAGAATCATATTAATGATTATTTTAAATTGCTCAGTGTAATACATATTCTTTAGGTTCCTGTTCAGGAGCATCACACTGAGTAAACATGACTCAGGGGGTTTGTTTCTGTCATGATTTTAGGTTTGTGTTTAGTTTCCTGTTTTATTTTGAAATGTATTTTCTCATTGTGTCTTGTCTTGTTTTACTTCCTGTGTTTTCCCTCCGTTGCCTGAACTGTGTTCACCTGCTGCCCCTGTGCCCCCCCCCACAGTTGTGTCTTGTCTTTTGGTTACCCTTGTGTGTGTTTAGGCCCCGTCCACACGATATCAGTTGTATCCGCTAACGTTCTCTATCGTATAGATGGTTCGTCCACACGAGGCCGAAACGGAGCCGCGGATACGGAGCCCGAATCCGATACACTTTGATAACGTTGTACCAAAGTGGGTAGGTCTGGGAACGAAACGCTTGCGGCTCCGTGTGTATTTCATTTCCTGTAAACGATGACGCCATAGCCCCGCCTCTCCTCACCCCTGCGTCATTTCTGATGCGTTTCACCAACAACAACAACAATGGAGGATCACAGGGTTGTGTTCGTGCTCCAGACGCTACTGACCATGATACAGATTTTAGTGCAAAATTAAGCTCCTCTACCACAACCATCAGCAACAATAATAATATAATAATAATAATAATAATCGTCATCGGTCTTATTCGCTGCTTTTGGTGTATTTTGTGGCGTAAGTACAGCGCCACTTACAGGCCCAGCATACAGTATGTACTACAGCGTCTCCAGTGTTTTCGAGCGTGGACGGACACGTTTCTTGAGCCGATTTTGTGTGGACGGAAGACTTATTTGAAAACGACTTAGGTTCGTTTTCGTCTCCGTTTCGTCTCCGTGTGACCCTTGTGTTCCATGTTTGTTCCTGGCTGCTTTCCCTGTGATCCATCCTCTTGTCTCCCGGTTTGTGGATGTTTAGTTTTTCTTTGTTGTCAGATTTTTTTTATTAAAGCTCGCTTTTTGTTAAGACTGCTTGATTTCTTATTTTGTACTGCTCTTGGGTCCTGCTGAGGTTTCCCTCATGTGATAAGATAATATTTTCCCATATCTCTCCCTCTGAGAAATCATTCTTTATATGAATGTACCTTTATGGTGTTGTCTATAATTAGCTGCCCTGAAGGAGGTTTTATGGAATTACCTGCTGCTTATTCAATTAAATCTGCATATTTGCCATTAAAACAACTCAAATAACTATATTAACTATCTGGTGGAAATTAAGTCTTTTTAACTTAATTGGACATTATGTTCAGGTTCATATTTGTATTTTGTATAAAGGTCTTTATTTTTCTCTGCCTGTGCTGCAGCACCTCTTTTTGCCCTCCGTCTGAAACCAGAGCCCAGTCTGCTCTGATTTGTTAGCTGGCCGGCTCTGTTGTGATTGGTCAACCGCTTAGAGATGTCCCGCCCTTAAACATATTATAATTATTCTAATGTTTTACAGACCATTTACATGCACAAAAACAGTAAAGGGAAAACCCCAACAAGTTTAAAAAAAGGTTTTCCTTTCATTCACACATCAGTTCCCTTTGAAATACAGTATGTTGTGAGCCTTTAATGTGCTTAAACTGTGAGGATGCTAATATGCTATCAACATTTTATTCAGCTCATCATATGTTTTCACATGCTTAAATTACACTAATTACTGCTGGCACGTTCCTCTCCATGAGCTAACTGTGCTGTTGTGTGTCAGTCTGTCAGTGGAGGAGCTGCAGGAGAAGCTGGTCCTGGTGCAGGAAGAGGAGCTGCTCCTCTCTGAGGAAGAGGCTGTGGTGAGTCTTTCAATTTACACTGCTCTTCTGGGCATTAGTGAAGGTCCTGTCTGACCTCCTGAGCAAGGTTTTTATCCAATGAAGTAAATCGAATAAACCTTTATTCTGTTTGCTGGGGTCATTATGAGAGGCTGAGTTTCTCTGTTGACCGTGTGGTCTTGCTTTGGTTTCTTTTGTTGATTAAACATCGGTAAACTCAAACATTAGTACGGATGTTTATTAAGGAACGAATCACAGCGATGACCAAAATACTCCTGTTGCAACACATACAAATATAAAATCTGACCTTCAAATGGAGAACAACCAAAAAAAGATAGATTATGAAATAATAATTTAATTATATACTGTATCACACATTCCCCATTGTCTTATTGGATTCTTTAATACCATTGGTAAAAAAAAATGTACGAATATACTGTGTGTTGACCTTAAAGGTGGGGTAGGTAATTTGAGAAACCAGCTCAAGTGCGCTAGAATTAGAAAATACACAACCGGAAAAAATCTGCCACTTCCTTACAGAGCCCCTCCTCCAACACACACAAATGCGCACATGACTAATGAAGGCACGAGATAAGTTTGTGCACAGATGGAAGGCTGACAGGCAGGTAGGCCATCCAGTTACTTTAGCTGGGCCGGCTAAAATGATTGGTCGTGCTTTTTACAGTACTACGGCTTCCACAGATGACATTCTTCTTTTATGGATTTTTTGTCAAAGCACTTAAGATATTCATTGCTATCAGGATGTTAAGAGCATTCCATGGAATATAACAAAAAGTGTATCTCGAGCCGGTTTCTCAAACTTACCTACCCCACCTTTAATTCTTTTTTAAAAATTATATTATTATTAATTTTTTTTTTCTTTATAATGCCCTTACATTTCTCAATTTCAATATATGAACATGGATTGGATGTGCCTCTTTCTCATGTCCTGTTATCATGGATTTTTGTGTGTGTGTGTTTTATTTAAAATGAGTTAAGGAAAGATGAATCGAAATCACTTATTGTCATACTGATATTCTGTACAAACTGTGAAGTCCACTGAGACAAATGTAACATTTGTGATATTGGGCTATATAAATAAACATTGATTGATTGACTTCTATTTTGTCAAACCAGAGATAACATTATTTTAATCCCAGAAACTGCCCTTAATTACTTTGACATCATGGGAAGTAGCTGAATTTTTCGAACATGCGAAGAACAAAGCGGGTTTCTGGTACGGATTGGGCAGTGACCATATTTGCCATGAAGCGGGGAAATTAGACAGGAAGTTCCAGGAAGAAGGAACAGGGAGTTACATCATCAGGACGGAGGGCCTTTTGTGCACACAGGAAGGAACACAGTTATTTCCTCATCAGTTTCTAATGTCTGCAGACTCTGATTACACACTCAGGGATGTCTTTTGGCATGCATCTTCCCTTTGTGTCATTTTCACACCTTTTTATTAGTCCCCCCTTTCTGTTTCCGTCCTCTTCAGAAGCTTCTGCCTCCGCACTGAAGGTGGTTTCCTCTTCAGCGGTGCAGATAATTCAGGAACAGAGAGGATTTGATGATGAAAGGAGGAAGTGCTCTTTCAGGGTTATCGTGTGTTCGGTCATTATGGGATACTCCTGCAGGAAGCACATCATCATCACTCACACTAAATCTGCAGAGATCCTTCCTCTCTTAGCATCTCTGGTGTGAGACCCAGTGGGCTGTGGCTATGTGCTGGAGGTTCCCTGATCTCACTGAGTATGGAAGATGTTTTTATTGCAGGATAAATAAAACCTCTGATGGTAATAAGAAGAGAGCACAGTTGGAGAAATGTCACTACTTTTTAATTTAAAAGTATGGATATAAAAAACAACAGTTGCATAAAGAAATATTGCAGTTATATACTATTGTGTATTCCACGTAGCTTCAGAAGAGAAGCCATTCGTTGGAAACAGGAAATGGAGACGATATGTTCGAGGACCACAGCTCTTAAGGATATAACAGACTCTTAATCTTTCGTATCGGGGATGTTTCTGCTTTTATTCAGACTGCTACTGCACTGCAGTTTTGTTCCCTGCTGTGTGTGTGGTGTGCAACACAATCTAGTTAGTTATAGTTATATTGAATCAGTGTGCATGCTTTAAATGCTTATCCTGCAACGCTGCACACAAGCATACCCCTGAGATTTCACCTGCAACTATAAAGAAATAAAGGGAACATGATGGTGGAGTGTGCAGCCTCCAGCAGGGGGCAGCAGGCCTCTAACAGAGCTGATGGGAAACACAAAGTCACATTCACAGGTCATTACGGCTGGGCCAACAGATCCCTCCTGCGGGAGTGGATACTTCTCCTCTGCCTGTTAGAGTATCCTCTCCCTGTCTTGCAGTGCTTCTCGAACACTGTGTGTTCTAAGCAGAGTTTAGGGTCCTCTGTGAATATTTGGAGCAGTGCATGCTCTGACGTCACTGAGAGTAACCCAGGAGTTTGCTATGTGCGGAGCTCAGCTGATTCTCAGTGAAGCTAAGACTGTGGATGTAGGCCATCGTGTTGCATGCTCAGTGCACACTGTAACATCTCGTTAAGATGGAACAATATCTCTTCTGTATTCCAACAACATCATAGTAGTGGCTGCACCTCTCTCCAATAGCATGCATCCCCTTCCTCTCAAAAGCGTATTCATTTTTGCTGGCGGCAGGAGGAGAGGTGGAGGTGGAGACTCTTATGTGTCATGGTTCTTTGATAGGAGAGGCACAACCAATGATTTGAGAGACTTCATTTATTTTAGGCTGCACACCTGACCCTCCTCCTCTCCTCTCCGCTCTCCTCTCTACCCTGTAGCTGTGATTGGATGAGCTGTAATGGAGGCAGTGGGAGGTCAGAGGAGGAGAAGTGAAGAGGCTTCATCTGATCTGCTGCATCCACAGCTGATCTGAAGAGCAGTCTGGAGTATAAAATAGAGATGTGTGTAAACAGACTGTTTGTAGCTCTGACTGCAGCGCTGCTGCTCGACAAGCTGCTCTGACAATCAGCCTTAAAGCAGCTCCAGGCTGTGTGTGTGTTCTTATCAGCTGTAACCACTGCACAAATACTGTTGATGTTCTGAAGCAGCTTTAACAACAGGAACACTGTGTAGAGAGAGTAACCTCCTCTGAGAACGATCATAGATCTGCCGCTGCAGCAGGACAGCCTCTACACACATTTTAAGGGATTATTATTTCGACAAAGTGAATAATCGGCTTATTTCATGAACATGCGTTTCTTGAGTTGGTGTGGGTGCTAGTTAAAGTTAAAGTTGCGGTATTAAAGTTGTAATCCTGTAGATTCAGGCTGCTTCATTTGGAGACATCAGTGGTTACTGGTGGGATCTACCGGTGTGTTTTATAAAGAAGCGAAACTCTGTACCACAGGAGGCACTGTACCAAAGATTGAGTTACTTAAATCAAGATGCAAGTTTTTTTATTTTACACTTCACATTATATGATAATGTCATTATTAACTTGTATCTCTGAAGCATCACATGCTGCACGGCCTTTGTCTTTAGATGCATGTCAGAGTTCAGGTGTATTTCAGCTACAGTGCTCTCCTCTGACCCGACATGTTGTGCAGAACCCAGTGTCCTCTGCTGCCACGCTATGTGTTTCCATGGTGATGGTGGCCTGCAATATTAAAGCTCTCAGAGGCCTGAAACCCACCCCCCCCCCCCCCCCCCCCCCCATCATCATAACAATCTCGGCCATTGACGGTGCCACCGATCGGTCTGCGAGCAGAGGGATGAAACAGGAAACAGAAAGCACCTCCTGTCCGTCATCTCATCTTTATCCCACTGACATTCGCTGGCTCAGACTCATCCTGAGAGAGGAGGAGAGGATGAGACTCACAGATGGCTTCCTGCTTCCTGTCTAGCACCAGATTCAGAGGGGAGAGACGGTTTCCAAATCTGACTCTGAAATATCAGTGCCTCTGTGGAAGAATGACAATCCCTGGATGTTTCCTTGCTATCAATCTGTGCTGACCTGTGGGCGATGAAAGCTTGTGATTGGCAGGTTACTACAGCAGATATTTAAAAAAAAAAAAAAATTTAAAAAGCAGGAAAGCCTGGTGCCATTTCCAAACTTTGTAAAGCTTAGTGTCCCCAGAAGCACACCTTCTATAGTCTCCTCATAAGGACTGTGAGACTGACCGTTGAGCGGCCCGACCAACCAAGCAAGGAGGCAGAGGCAGAGAGTTCACATATATCCCGGTGTGGGCATTTATTTAATCATAGACAAATGACACAGCCTCAATCTGACTGTCCATGTGAACACCATCACCACATCACAAGGATCTCACACACACTACCAGCTACCTAACAGACAGGGAAACAGAGCCTAAATACACACAAACATCTCTCTGTTAGTGCAGTAGTACCGGTGATGTTGTCATCCTCTGGGCGCTCTGCAGAGTGACATTTATTAATGTGCATGTGATGTGCTCCCCTCACTATCTACAGACGCTCATAATTACATTGACATTTAGCTGCGTGATAAGCCCCCCCCCCCCCCCCCCCCCCCCCGGTGGCCTTTCTGAAATGTTCCTGAGGAGAATATAGACTGACGCAGCGCTGAATATCGAACTGTCTCTGCTTTATCTTAAATAAGAACCGTGTTCATTAGCAGACGAGCTGATGATGGGGACGGGGTATCACAGGTTAGATATATATATACACTGGAGATCTGAAGGGTTGTTGTCAGTTGTTTCTGATGTCACATACTGTTGTCTCAAGAAAAAGACTGGAGATGGGAGCGTACGACTTCAAGTGTTTCCTTGCAAGAAAATCACCAATACAATCTCTTTATTTAGTCACAGTAATTACCCTACATCATCCCCTTTTTCACTCTGACTCTATTTGTTGGACCGCTGGGGCCACCATGACTTTTAGTTCTTAGAAATCTAGCAGTGGTTCCAAAGTACACAAACAGCACTCAGGGTAAATTAAGTGACTCTACTCTGAAATGCTTTTAAACTGTTTTGTTAGGTCTGAATTCATCGTTCAGTTAGGAACATGTATTCGTCTTATAATCAGTCTTCAGGGTCTGTGGTCAGCATCAGTTGCTAGTAGGTTGTTAATGTTACTAACTGTACAGGAACTATGTTACCGGTATTGTTTATTGTGTGTGTGAGGCTGCTGGGAAAATGTAATTAGATAACACAGAATGTAGATGTGTTATTTAATATTTACTCTCTCTGCGAGGCAATTTCTGCACTCTGAGAGGAATTACTCTTTCCTCCAGAATAACTGCTGCTCTGAAGTGATGGATGCTATATTTACCTACAAGACGATATTTATATACAGTTTGTTAAAGTTGTTAAAGTACCAGTAATAAAAGATCAAGTCTGAGTGTTGTATCTTGTGGCAGTGAAATGCTGGGTCAGCTCCGAGGATCTGATTCTCCTCCTGCAGTGTCTGTTGGCTTAGCAGCGTGTGTATGTTAGCTTAGCTTCATTGTGCATAGAGTTAAAGGTCAGCCTGCTGAGATACAGCGCCCACTAAACGGCTTCCAGCGGACTCCGTTTCACATGAATACACACCGAGCTGCACCCCCTTCCCTCGGGAGGAGACTGGCGCCTCCACCCGCTACACTTCTATCCCTCACACCTGGCAGGTTCCCTCCTCTTTCTGCAGGAGTTTTTAAGATGAACTTATTATCAGTTGTGTATGGCAGCATGTGAAGAATAAGATTAGTGTGTGTCAGGCTGAGAAGAAAGACACACTTCATGCAAATTGCACCATTACAGAAAACGTATATACATATTTTCTGTATTCAGATGACGTTGAAATGAAACTTACATTTAAAAAAACAACAACATACATTTAATAGAGCTTTCCCGTTTTTAAAACAAGATGAGAGCAGTGGTGTCGTCAGGCCTGAGGCTACAGCTCCGGATGTTTTATGAAAATATAAGACACTCCTCGACACTCAAATGTGTAACCAACATCATGTATCTAACATTCCGTTTTATGTGCATTATATTTGGAATATTGTTAAGTACTTCTTCTGTGCTGTATCTTGTTGGTTATTCATATATTCATTAAACCTCCTCCTCTTCCCCCAGGCTCTAATGGGAGGGGGTCGTCAGATGGACCTGCCCATGTTCCAGCACTCTCTGTGGGACGTCCTAAATACAGAGAACAGGGTGAAGGTGAGCTCCATTCCCTTTTTGTTCAAACACACACCACACACCAGTTGAGGGAATCCGATTTGTATTGGACTGCAGGGTTGCAGAGAGTCTTTCCAGGTTTGAATGATCTGTTAAAAGGTTGGTTTGTTAGTTGGATGGTTCCTTCCCTCTCAGGGACGGGTGGCGCAGTGGTCTGTGCATCCGATCATCAGATCAAGGGGGAGTGCTGGGGAACTCCAGTTCGAAACGCGCTCCTGCCGCCACTGTGTCAGGCCGTTGTGTCCTTGGGCAAGACACTTCACCCGGATTTGCTCCTGTGGGTATTGTCCACAGTACATGTATAATACTAATGTGTACCTGTAAAAGCGCCTCGATGTCTTCGAGGCGTGAAGATGGACGGTGTGGCGCAGTGCGCTGTGCAATGATCATCAGATCAAGGGGTGAAACCCGCCGCTGCTGCGTCTGTAAAGCCGGTGTGTCCTTGGGCAAGACACTTCACCTGAACTTGCTCCTGTGGGTATTGTCCACAGTATCTGACCATTGCATGTATCATATATGTGTAATGTGTGTATATGTAAAAGCGCTTTGAGTCATTGATAAAGCGCTATAATAAATGTAAGGAATTATTATTATTATGTGTTGGTGCAGGATCATGGTGAAGGCCCCTATTTTTTGTATACGTTCCCTCAGTGCAGCAGCATCTCTATAGATGTGGTTCAGTTTTCAGGACAGCTGGTGGTTGCCCAAAGTTTCCTATGTTAGTGATGATTGCAGCTCTTCTGTTCATTGACCTAAAAGCTTTTTGATATGTCCGATTATAGGTCACCTATTATGCGAAATCTTCTTTTATACATCAACATGTGTTCCCTCTGTGTAAAGAGATTCTGAAAGTTTCAGGAAAAAAGATTCTCTCTCTTTTTGTCCTGATCTATTTATATAAAAACCTGTCTGAAAATGAGCTGATCAGATTTTGGCCACTTGTTTTTTGGCTTGTGTAACCAGTAGCCAATAACCAACCAAGGTAGCACCTTTAAGTGAATCTCCTCCATTGTGTTATTCTTAACCAAATATCTCTCAGAGGGGCGTAGGGAGGGGCTCCTTATTTTCATCTAAAGTAACAGACAGAGAATCAGCACTTTGGAATCAGGGCTGAAACAGAGGGGATTATGGGATGCTGCAAAGATCTGTTTGGTGTTTCAGCCAATCAGAGACAGGTTCTGCATATATCTGAGACCTATAATATATTGATGAAAAAGCGTATAATAGGGGACCTTTAATCCTTACTTTATTACCTGCAGTACATTGACACCTTCCCTCTCATTTTGTTTCAAACGCCTCCGATGTTTCATCACTGTGTGCAGGAACAATGTAAGACGAGAGAAATCCTTTTTGATGAATAGGTAAGAAAAGAACTGAGATGTACTGCAGTCGCTGGTCCTCGATCCTCCCTGTGATCAGATGTATTCTGACACACAGATCAGCCTCTAACACCTCTCTCTAAAGTGTTTTAATTCATAGACAGATACAAATATTCCTGAGGTTCATAAAGCTCCTGTTTTCATCTGAAGCCTGGAGAAAATGTCCGTCTGCTTAGCCGAGGCGAGCGGCGGCAGATAGCATCCTCTCATTTCCTCTGTCCAGATAAAGAGGAAGAGGAGCAGAGTTATGGAGTTCCTTCATCAGCTCATATAACCCGCTGTGAGATAACATTCGCATAGACAAACACCGATTAGATTTCACCGTCCCGCTTATCTTACTGCTGCTGCATCCCTGAAATATAAAGCAAGGATGCAAAACAAACACTTGGGGTCTCCGCATTTGTCCCCCCATCATTCCGAAGACTCATTTCTTCCTTCTCCAGGTATGTCCAAAGCGTCCACACAAAAAATAAATCATAAAATCATCTTAGTTAAAAACAAAATGTACACAAATTACAGTAAAAGTTGTACAATAGTACAATACTCATGAGGTAAAGTTCTTTCCAAAGCCAAATTTCTCCAAGGTGTGAAAAAGATACCTCCACTCCACACGATCAAATGCCTTTTCTGCATCTAAAGATATCACAGCTTCAGGTACAGAATTTGCGGAAGGCTGGTAGATTAAAAAGTCGTCTTAAGTTAAAAAATGAATGCCTATTTTTGATGAAGCCGGTTTGATCGGGAGAGATAATTGTTGGTAACACGGTTTCCAAATGTAAAGCAAGCATTTGTATTATACAGTCATTTAAAATCCACACTTGGATTTGGGTAGATAGCCCCCATTGTTCTGTGACCTGTCAATCATCAAACCGGGGGTCATATCACTTCATTATGTGTTCATTTGTAACCGAAGTTGTACCCATGGATGTATAAAGAGTAGTTCTACCGTAAGTTATTCTCCGTGGGGACTTCCGGCAACAATCTTGATTCTGATTGGCCAGAAGACTCGAAAAAGAATCAGCAAATATGTTTTATTGAGAAGATGATCACTACGTGACAGAAGTTTGCTAAACCGCTTATGGTCTCCGGTACTTCCAGTCCAACACCTACTGCGTTAGAAAATCGGGCCTTCAACATTTTTTTTTTCAATTTTCTTTTCTTCACTCTCACATCTCGAAATGGGTCCCACCAGTTGAGAACCACTGATTTAAACAACATACTTGATTAGAACAACAAGTAAAGGCCAACAGCATAAGAGTGAAATGACATTTAAGTAAAATCAGAATTAGTTTCAAAAGTGTCATCAAGCCCTATATAATGACATTTCACAGGCTTTTCTCTATGCATTTAAATTAATTAAAGCAGTCATGAAAACAGTAATGTCCAGCTATGTCACTTCCTGTTCCTGGATGTTATTTCACATCAGGACTCAGATAAAGTGCATGATGTTTGAAAAGAACACAACAAGCTATATTAGGTTCTACATATCCATAAATCCGTCTGATAAGATGATCAGTTTGAGCTGAGCTAGCATCACTGAAACTCTCACTCTATATATCTACAGTTAATCGTCTCTGTGAGAGAGGAGGAATGTGGAGCAACAGACACACACACACACACACACACACACACACACACACACTGATCATGTGAAGATGTGACACATTAAATATTAAGAATAAATAAGATGTGCTGCAGAGGGAGGGAGCTTTCATGAATATAGGTCTGTAAGTGTTACATAAGTTAACATCAGCTCCTGTGATGTGATGTGCAGAGCGTCATTTATTCTGATTAGTACTGCGTTTAAAGACCCATCTCTGCAGAGAGGGGGCTGCTGCTGGGGAGCAGAATGCAGTCTGTTTGATGATTAAACTCAGAAATATCTGCTTGTCAATTAATTAGACGCTTCCTGGGCTCTCGGTGGACAAATACCCATGATGCACATGTGTGGAAGTAATCAGAGTACAGCTCCTTCAAAGAGAGACGCTGTTTCCTGTGCTGCTTTCTAAACTGCCGCTGGAGGCTTTCCTTCTCAGGAACATCACAGGGAGTAATGCCTCCGTTACTCCTGCCGCTCTCAGTCCGTCAGTACAGAGGAGGCACTTCCTGTTCACTTCCTGTTGTTGGGATGCTGAGGGTTTCTTCTTCTTCAAGAAAAATCAGACCTATCGGCACAACTTTCTCAGCTTTCCATTGATCTGCAGATCAGATGGTTGGTCTGTGATGGGGAACAAATACTGTACAGCTTAGCTAGTTGCTGATGGTTAACTAGCCCTGCTGTTTTTTTCTCATTCCAGCAGCGTTCCCTCATCACCTTCATGAAAACTTCATTTGAATTGAATTTTCTTATTTCTCTGGGTTTTGTGCTGAATCCTCTCGCTGTGTCCCTTTCTGTAGTACCACTCTAATTCAAGATTATAAGGCTTTACAGTCGTTTTCACAGTAGCTACAGTGCATCTTATCGTACCGTATGAAACCGCGTCATCTCTTGTTGTATCAAATCGAATCATGTTGTATCAGGTCGTGACGTACCGTATTATACCCATCGTATTGTATAGCTTACTGTATTGTATCGTACTGTCTGTATATCGTATCTAGTCTTATATCGCATCCTATCGCCTTGTCTCGACCATTTCCTATCGATCATATCTGATCTAATATTGTAATGAACAATGTTGTGTCATGTAAAACTGTTACTGTTCGTCTAAAGACTACATCCTGGAAGTCCCGAGAGTAAAGCACACTTGCATCAGTCAAGGGGTTGGGCGATGGATAATTTTCTTAAGGTTTATTTTCTTTGAATCTCAGAGAAGTGTTTTCACTTTCGGTAACACCGCTCACTTCCTGTGATGAAAAAATGTTTGAATCCTTGCTTCATGAACCCTCTTGGGAAATTTTTTCTCATTTTACATTTTCTAACAGAAAATGCCTACAAGCGTCAACAACAGAACAAAGCACACTCAGCTGCAGATACATCTCAATATTTAGATATCCAGTAAATCAGTATTGTACCAAAATACTAGAATTTAACTTAAAAAATGATGAATACAAGTAAAATTAATATTTTATGGAAAGTGCATTATGGAATGGGGCATAGGTTATTGTTTTATTAGATTAATATTACTTCCTGGAGTCGTGCGTTGTATGGGACACAGGCAATTATCTTAAAACTTAGGTTGTTAAAATAGATTAATACATTCCTAATGGTGACAAACATGGTTAATTCCAATTGTCAAATATACACACTGCGGGATTTGATCACCCCGACAGGGCCCTCCTCCTGGGGTGAGAGTGTCTTGTGATAATGGCCGAAACACTCGATGAGCCCGAGGTCCATAACTGATGATGTGTCAAAAAAATGAATCAATCATTTATGAATTTAAAAATATAAAAATAAAATAATTTATGAATTTAAAAAATATTTAAGATATTAAAAGTAAATGAAAAATCAAGATTATGATTAAAATAAATAAATCCTTTAAATGTGGTGCCTGCTGACCGCTGTTCTTTACGCTTGGTTTTAACCCTAGTCTACAGGGAAAGCACTTTGGAGTGCATATTCCTGTTTCTCACTTCTTATTTTTCACCTTTTTTCCAACTATTTCAGGAGAGTGCATGTACGTAGTTGCGTTGTGCCTCTTCACTTTTACTCTCCAGGGGTCAGAGTTCATATGGTGAGGGATTCCATTGGCGGTATGCGCCGGCCTGTGCCTTTACCGTGGACTTCTGGTAGAACTGCTCGGGTCTTGATAGATTGAGTGGGGAAGTTCATGAGATCTTTCTAGATAGTAGAAAATTCTAGAAAGATCTCATGAACTGGAAACAGGAATATGCACTCCAAAGTGCTTTCCCTGTAGACTAGGGTAACCTTTAAGACCAAGCGTAAAGAACAACGGTCAGCAGGCACCACGTTTAAAGAATTTATTTATTTTAATCAAATTTTAATCCCAATCTTGATTTTTCATTTACTTTTAATATTTTAAATATTTTTTTAAATTATTAAATTATTGAATTTTTCATTTAATATTTTAAATATTTTTTTAATTCATAAATTATTGATTCATTTTTTTGACACATCAACAGTTGTGGACCTCGGGCTCATCGAGTGTTTCGGCCATTATCACAAGACACCCCAGGAGGGCCCTGTCGGGGTGATCAAATCCCGCAGTGTGTATATTTGACAATTGGAATTAACCAAGTTTGTCACCATTAGGAATGTATTAATCTATTTTAACAACCTACGTTTTAAGATAATTGCCTGTGTCCCATACAACGCACGACTCCAGGAAGTAATATTAATCTAATAAAACAATAACCTATGCCCCATTCTATAATGCACTTTCCATAAAATATTAATTTTACAATTTACTGCCGAAGGTGTGTGTGCTGCCTGTTTCCCCCCGTGACTGAAGCTGAAGCATGTATTCTTCATCAGTCTTCATCATTAAACATGTGTAAAGCTCCTGAGAGCCTCACAGTCACTGAGGAGCTCCTGATCCAACATCAAGAGAGTCTGCTAGGAGCTGCTTACTATCGCTCTGTCTCACACACACACACACACACACACACACACACACACACACACACACACACACATGCTCTGTACCCCTTCAGGTGATCAGTGTGTATGTGTTTCCTCTCTCTGCAGATCAGAGGCATTGTGGATGCTGAGGATCCTCACCTGAAGGCTGCAGACACAGGTCAGTTACACACACACACACACACACACACACACACACACACACACACACACACACACACACACACACACACACACACACACACACACCATAAAGTTGCTTCATGTCATGAGGTAGGTGCTTCACAGTGCCGATGTAAACTTGTCTGCTTGAAATGCACATGCAGTAGTTTCTATAAAATATATATATATTGTGAATACCTAGAAGTTGTGTGTGAATATCAAAACAGATTGTCCGTGCATGAGAGTGTGTGTTTTCCTGTGGCTATGGTTCTCTTTGAGTGTAGACGTGTGTGTGTGTGTTTGTTTTGAAGGTGATGAAGCTAGTTTATGCCCCTTCACACACAGCGAGCACATTATCCAGCTGCTACAGGAGACAGGCTTTTTGGCCACGTAAAGTGTGTGTCTTTGTGTGTTCCCCGTCACCCTGCAGCTCCACATCTACATCTACCACACACACTGAATTAAGAAGAGTGTGTTTAATTTGTACAGAAGTTTAGAGCCTGTCTGTTAGCATGCTCCCAACAGAGTGTGTGTGTGTGTGTGTGTGTGTGTGTGTGTGTGTGTGTGTGTGTGTGTGTGTGTGTGTGTGTGTGTGTGTGTGTGTGTGTGTGTGTGTGTGTGTGTGTGTGTGTGTGTGTGTGTGTGTGTGTGTGTGTGTGTGTGTGTGTGTGTGTGTGTGTGTGTGTGTGTGTGAACAGATGGTCCCCTGCATCAGAAGTGTTTTATTTCCCAGTGGAAGCAGATATGTCAGAAATAAGTGTGCAGCATTAGTCATTTGGAATATTCATGCCCCCCCGACCAGCGCTTCCTCTGCAGCCAAAACACACCAGCCCTGCTCTCTCGGGTGGGGGTGGTGAGGCCTACATGCAGCGTTAATGGAGGCATCTTCTTTAGCGCCAGGATGTAATTAAAGATCTACTTAAACCTTAGCTACCTGTCTAACAAGCTAGCAAATGTTAGCTATCTAGCGAGCTGTTGCCAAATTGGTGGCTCTCTTATTTAAACATATTTAATATTTAACCCCTAAAATATTTTGTATTTGCAGTGTGGACCTGTGTCTACTATTCAGACAGTGAGTCATTATGAAATCATTGTTGACGTGTTTTTGTAAGCAGACTGGACACTGAAATGTATACTTTTGGTTAAAGTAATCACATATTAATCAAGATTGTTATTTTATTGCCTGAAAAACTGTTCTTTTGGCAAGTGCAGATTAATAAAGCTGGAGGCACTATGCTAATTAATAGCAATCACACTTTAACCAGAAGTACCAACACATAATATGGCAATGTGCAAGTGCCGTAGGGATAGGGAGATGCTGCCTTCAGGGTCCAACAAAGAAATTCGGCAGCTCTGTATTTGGCAATGGGGCCCTCCTCTTGCGGAAACTTGAATTGGAGCAGCCGTTTCTCCTCTCTTTGGCATGAGGGATCATGATCGGGGTTAATTCATGGAAGCATGTGGTGAAGAAGGGAGGAGGAAGACAAGCGAACAGCAGAGCGCTGCTTATCGCACAAATGCAAAAATGATTTATTCAGAAATATGTAAATCCAACAATCACTGTGGCTTGTTTACTGAGGGGAGCTGCTGATTCAGAGTCTGAGAGAGAAACCATCCTCAGACAGCAGCAGATATAAGCTGCAGGAATAGAAGAAGACTTATAGTTTCATTAAATATTCTGAGGAGTCTGATGTGGAGAGTGTACAGACCAAAATATTGAAGTCTCAAAAACAGACTTGTAATATTGTTAAGGAAAGTCCTTCTGCTTGTGTTGGACAGATTTGATCATTCCTCTTTAGTTGGAAAAAGGATTTTGACAGTGTGCATTATTATCATTTTCAACTGAGTTACAGCCGCAAAGTAAAAGGCAAAAGTAACAAAAAGAAAAGTGTTTATTTATCAACTTGTACTCAGAAATACTGTCTCTCGTCATATAAAGCAGCTCATTGAATATTAACCTGTACTGATTTCCTCTGTTGGACATGTGGTTGCAACAATGTGTCCTGTAAATAACCCAAGCTCCTCTCCCTGTGTGTGTGTGATGTTAATCTGCAGCAGTTGTACGCATTGCTGCTGTTTCTGCAGCGCGATGTGGGTGGTCAGCAGCATCAGGCTGTGAGAGGGGGCTCTGCTGCAGCGGGAGATCACATCCTGCCCCAACAGATAAATGACTTTACTCTGACCTCGCTGCTCGCTGGCACAACAAACAACTCTGCAGGAGGCAGGAGCTGGAAATATCTCATATATAAACGCTACTGTCTGCTGCTGGATATTTCAAATGTTTGGTGAGCGAAAGCAGCGGGAAGGAGTGTGTTGATGGAGCAGGTCTGCGAGGTAGTAGGGGGGCCGGGTGATGGAGGGCTTTGTAAGTGAGGAGGAGGAGGATTTTGAAATGGATGTGTTGGGCAACAGGGAGCCAGTGCAGGTTCTGCAGCACAGGGGTGATGAAGTCCCGAGAGCGGGTGAGGAGAAGGCGGCAGAGTTTTGAATATACTTGAATTTATTGGAGAGTTTGGATAGTGTACCAGACAGGAAGCTGCTGCAGTTTGTCCAGTCTGGATGAGGGCCTTAAACAAGGCCTAGGGGCACACCTGACCCCTGATTTATCCCAATGTTTCGACGTTGAACATTTTTCTTTGCAAACTTATATTACGGTCATGCAGCTTGAGATAATGCAGACATTTGTAGCGCCGATATATCCAATGCTAAAACTACCCACACTCATAGCACTGCAGAGAAGAGAGGTTTGATTTGAGGTAGATTAAGTTCTGAGAATGAGATGAGCACACATTTAGAAAGTGTTGTTCATTTAGGATGTACATTAAGCTCTACATGTAAACAGTATTTAGTGATGATCTACTGAGTGTGTATCTGCAGTGTGAGTACAGTGACATTTACAGAGCGATTTCCTCTCTGCCGTGGATCAGTGTACCGTGCAGCCATGACTCTGTAATCCCGTTTTAATTAGAGCGACGCGGCCCGGCTTCCCGCGGCGACGCCACTCTGGCAACGAATCAATCACCAAGGCAGCGGTTACCGCGGCAACCAGGCGACCGACCGTCTGAGCGTTGAGTGATTGCCGGTGTGTGTCTGTGTGTGGAGTTTTTATCTCCCCTCACACATATCCACAGAGTTAATTAAAATACATGAAATAAATCTGAATGTGAGCAGAAATGAAACATGCAGGACAAATTGAATCACACGTTATCTAGTGATGGATGTGTGAGGGCTGTGATTTGAAGACAAACACACACAAGCTCCTGTCTCTAGCTCTAGAAGGCCGGATATTTAAAGATCCTCTCCTGTTATAGACTGAATCTCAAACAATTCCCCTTTGTTTATCAAAATAACACATTTACAATAAATCCCATCATGCCTCAGGTGTTGCGATGCATCATTCAGGATGTGTGTAATTATGAATTTGCAAATGTAAATAATCTAAGGAAGATGTCGGATATTGCTGTGTCCCAGGATTATTACCGTAGCAGTGTCAGGCTTCAAGTTTTTGGGAATAATATGAAAACAATTATCTGGAAAATATCTAATGCAAATCAGATTTTTCTCTGGAAGTTTGGCATTATTACTTTTTCTCTAACTTTTGTTGCGCTGTTTCCGCAGTAGCATTATGCTAATTTAAGGCCTGTCCTGTTAGCTGATCATTTCCTTAGGTTTGAAATCCTGTCGGTCGGTTTTCCTGAAATACCACGCATATAAAATCATGACTAAGCTGTAAACACAAACAAAGGTCAGCACACAGATGTTAACTAAGTGTTCAGCAGCAGAGCGCCCTGAAGGCCCCCCTTTATGCTTGATCAGAAAACACACACTGTTAGTGAAACTATGTGGGAACAACGCTCAGGGTTTATTAGAGCAGACAGTGATTTAAATTCAGTCTCTCACTATGAGGAGATCTATGTACCTGTACCTCACCTTTCTGTCTATTAGCTAATATTATACATTCATCTCTGCAGCCACATTTTAAAGGGGCCTTATTATGTTTTAAAGCAGGGGTGTAAACTCAATTTCATCGCGGGCCACATTAGCATCATGTTTGCACTCAAAGGGCCGGTTGTAACTTTTAAGACTATATAAAAATACATATATAAATATGTCATATAATAATGTATTATATGACATTATTGCTTCTGAATTGGATTATTATCGGATAGGTAATAACTAACTACGTCTGAAAGCAGAAGTCCAGGGCAAATAATTACAAGTCTCTTCATGTCACAAAATTAGATGCATTGTGGGACATGTAGTTTATGGGCAATGTGCTTCTGTAAATCGATATGTATAATAAACGTATTATATTCTTTGCAAGCTCTTGCGGGCCACATCAAATGAAGTCCCGGGCCGGATTTGGCCCCCGGGCCTTGAGTTTGACACCCCTGTTTTAAAGGTTCATATTTGTTTTCCTTGACCGGCTCTGTTGTCTGCCTTTGCAGACCATTAACATGCACACACACCTATAGAACACACTACAGGTTTAATCCATTCCCTTGGAAATATGTTGTGAGCCTGAGAGAAACTCCCTCTGGAGGAAACTTTTGTTTTTTTAACCAGAAACTTTCAGCAGCTTTTACTTTTCTAACTGTTTCCTTGAAAGCAAGTTCCAGCCGCTCGGCCAGGATAAGCCTTCCCCCTGTATCCCTGTTCTGGTCTGAGATGGGGCTCAGGTTGTCCGTCTGGCAGCAGCTCTGTGAGGATCCACTGGGATCACTGCTTCTTCCTCTGCTGCCTTCACTGTCTCTCCAATTAAAAGTTACACAGAGGAACAGATGGAGGCTGATGGAGGCAGCTTTTTCTTCCGCTGCTGCACTGTCAGCGCAGACACCACTGCGTGTGTGTGTGTGTGTTCTGAAGTGCTTTTCAGTTGGTGATACAGAGCTTTTAGACAAATCCTCAAACTCTGCTCCGCACTTGTCTGCACGTTTCTAATGTTAACATGAACGCAGCGACACCGTGCTTCCTGTTTCACTGCAGGAAAGCTGTGAT